GACAGACAGACAGAGATATGAAAGGCAGACAAAACGAAAGGAAAGAAGATGTCTATATCTAAATATGGGCTTCATATTTGTGTGTCCTGAGTTACTAAGTTTGGTATCAATCCACGTGTCCTATGTGTTCAGATCAGTGGGATTCTGAGTCTTCCCTTATCCATATGACAAATAAATTCTCACTGCTTGGTTGTGAGACACTTCACAACTTAAATAAAGGAAATACACTGTTCTCTCCTTTCTCTCCTTAGTTTAATTTGCATGTTATATATTTCTGCTTCATATAACAATTTCTGTTCTAGGTCAGAAAATTTGCAGTGGTACTGGGCTTTGGAGAAAAGACTCTACTTTCTGAGCATTTAGAGATTTGATTTGTTTTAAAACAACCTTATTTATATATAGTATACATGCCATAAAATTCACTCTCTTAAAGCAATTCACTGGTTTTCAGTATATTCACACTATTGCGCGGGTATTAACACTATCTAATTTGAGACTGTTTATCACCCCCAAAATAAACTCCATACCTATCAGCAGCAATTTCAATATCTCCACAAGCAAAGTCCTGGCAAACAGTCATATGTTTCCTGTCTCTGTAGATTTCCATATTCTGGCCATTTTGTATAAATAGAAGCATACAAGATGTACTCTTTTGCGACAGGCTTCTTTCGCTTAGCATTATGTTTTCAAGGTTCATCTTTACCGTTGCATGTATTAGTGCTTCATTTCTTTTTATTGTCGAATAATATTCCATTATGCAGATATGCCAGATTTTGTTTATTCATCCGTGAGTTGATGGATACTTAGATCTGCTTTTTGGCTATTATGAATGTTATTGACATTTGTGTTTAAGTTTCTGTATTTTCAATTGTCTGGGGTACATATGCTAGGCCATATGGAAACTCTATGTTTAACATTTTGAGGAACTGCCAAACTCTCTTCCAAAGTGACTATACTATTTTACATTCCCACCTTGAAGGTTCCAATTTCTCGACATTCTCACCAACATGTGTTAATGTCTCTTTTTTATTTAGCAACCTCAGTGGGTGTGAAGAAATACCTCATTGTAATTTTAATTTGCATTTCCCTAATGACTAATGATGTTGGACTTCTTTTCTCGTGCTGATGGCCATGTGTATATCTTTGGAGAAATATCTATTCAAATCCTTTGTTCATTTTCAAATTGTGTAGTACTTTTATTGAATTGTAAGAATTCTTTATATATTTTAGATACAAGTCCCTTATCAAATGTAAAATTTTCAAATCTTCAGTTTTTTGGGCTGCCTTTTCACTTTCTTGATGCCTGTTGAAGCATAAAAGTTTTTAATTTTGTTTAAGTCATATTTAGATTTTTCTTGTATGCTTATAGTTTTGGACCTCTATCTTAGAAACCATTGCCTAATCAAAGACCATAAAGATTTACTCCCATGCTTTTTTATAAAGAGCTGTATAGCTTTGCCTCTTATATTTTTGACCATGGTCCATTTTGAATCCATTTTTATCCATAGTATGGGGTCAGTTTCAAGCTGAACATCCGTGTGGATAGTCATGTGAGAATTCAGTTCCCCAGCGCCGTTGATTAGACACTTGATTTTAATGAAATTGTTCAAATCATATGTAAATAAGAAACACTGTCATTACTGACCTTTTAATAAGCACCAATTTTTTTTTCTCTAATCTAATCTTAACAACTCTATTGTCATCCCCAAAAATGTCATTTGGTTGTGTCAAGGAAATCCAAGAACAAAGATTTTTTAGGGATTTTGAGGTTACACTAATCAAACATTTTAGGCAAACCTCTATATGATCCATTTGCATGTTAGTTAAGATTGTTACACTATTGATAGTAATATTTCAGACTCAGACTTTCTAGTTTGGGCCTTTGAAGATGTCTAAGATTGCATAGATTTTAAAAATAATTCCTTGGTGAAACTATACTAGTTTATATTATTTTAACTGGATTTAGATTCCTCTGAATTCTTTGTATTGTATACTTTAGATTAGAGGTTCTTATTGGAGTTACCTTAAGTAATTAAAGGTCACAAGGGAGTGCTCAATACTAATCTCTTTGCTTACATAGATATCAATAAAATATCCTCCCTGGAGAGAGAGAGAGAGAGAGAGTGTGCGTGCGTGCATGTTGTTTTCTAAACCAGATGATTTCTATAGTTTTGTTTTCATTGCTTGTGATGCCTGTTTAAATTTGTATAAATAAACATATTTGCAGAGTTCATCATTTGTTGGGAGTGAAAAAACAAGATAGAAAAAAGAATAAAATTGCAATAATGGATGCTCACTAAATGTTACTTATGTAAGATGTACAGACCTCCTCTGCAACCACCTGAATTGTCACTACTAGATATGATTAGTTCTGCCCAAAATCCCAGTTGGCAAATTTTACCATTGTATGGAGTCTTCTCCCAACCAAAGACAAGTGGCAGTTTAGCAATCTCTTTAATAACATACCTTTATTCTCATCACACTCCCTCCCATCTTGTTCTTTCTCTTTATTTTATTCAGTCACCAATATGTTGAACAGGTATCTAAATTTAGAGACTAAATTAACTGAGACTAATACTAGGAGAAAAGTGGTTTAGAAAATTATAAAACAAACTTAGCAAATAGACACAAAAATTTCTGGAAGATCTGGAGAGCCAGGATTTAAGACTAATCAGAAGAACACAACTTTCAGTTTTATTATGCACTAGGACTGACTGATCTCACAGCTGGATACAGACACCATAGTCTACACCAGCACCACCACTAATACCATTAATGCCATTTATCTATAGGTTCTTAATTCTGTTTCAAGTACTGCTCAATTCTTGCATGGAGAAGGAGAATGCACCTGCCATTGTGACCATCTCCCCTGGCATGGATGCCATGTGATTCTTGCTTCTTCGTATCACTAGTTTCCAATTAAGGGTTAAGAGTAGGTGCTCAGATCCAAGCTTTAAGAGAAACTAGGCATATAAGTATCTCCAATATTCTGTGTGGGAGGAGTTTTTGCTTCTGAGATAGGAAAATCCACACATGTAGGAGTGTTTACATGCAGCACAATCTGAAACAATGAAAAAACTGTAGCAATCAACAATTTCCATGAATCTATTCAATAAAACAGCAAAAATAAAGTCATTTCAGAATGAGTTTAAAGTATAGAAAACGAACAAAAATGTATTTAAAAGTTTTCTCTAAAGATGATCACAAAGTGTTCAAGCATTTAAGGAAAATGTAGTCTTTTAAAGCCAACCTTCTGAACTAAGTTCCATTAGTTCTATATATGAAATGACAGAGTAGAATTTTTAATTTGGGGACTTATTTGCTGTTATAGGGTCACTATTGGTGATGTTTCAGATTTACTCTGATAACAGGAAGAAAATCAATGTGAATTAAATGAGCCAAATTAAATAAGATGTTTTCTCCCCCCACTTTATTCATTTGTTTTAGTCATACGTGTGTCTATAAACTACTGTTTTGTTTACCGTACAATAGGTTAACACAGGAGTTTGATTTTAGCCATTTAATTCACAGATTTTCTAAAGGAATGTGATGAAGATTTTGACTTTGGTATCTTAATTAAATGCTTATGCTCTAGAAAGTGTTACCATTCCCACAGCTTCAGAGCAATGCATAGATATGGTTTAAAAACATTTTTGGGGGAAATGTACATTATGAGATAGCAGTATTATATAGAAATGCTTAACTCCTGTCATCAGTGAGTTGTGAATTGAATGATTCAACTAATGAGCCATGGAACTCCCTGTAATCTGTGCTATTAAGTGTGGCTGAATGTATCCTAGGTTACAGCCCTCTTCTAGTGTATCTGCTGAAATCTTTTTTAAAACTCTGTCTTACATTCAATGATAGCTTTGAAAATCTCCACAGTGAAATATTCTAAACTTATCTTTCAACATTTAGCTCCACCCCACCTGGACCATATGTGTGTGCTCACCCACGTACACACACACACATACACAAAGCAACTGGGACCAAAAAAAGTGAAACCCGTATTTTACTACTGAACTTCAGAAGAAAATAATTCCAAACAAAACGTGATTCTGGAGCTGAACTCAAATGCTGAGGAGTAGATAGTTGAGTTTATAATAATTTTAAGTAATATTTGTCACTAGCCAATTCATGTATAAGAATTGGATATGTAAGAAACCATGTGTGGCAGGTAGGTAATGGATGGGTGGTGGGGTGTGGTCAGTGAAAACAACAAACTTGTCAAATGGCGTAATTTACTTCTTTGATTTGGTTTTGATAAAATATTTGAGGATCTATTCTGATAGAGAAAATTGACTCTGGCCCCCTTAAAATTCATTCAAGGCATTTTAATTTTATTTGTGCCAATACTCCTCCTGCCCTTAAGGCATGTATAATCTGAAACAGTGCTGATAGTTGTGCTCTTTGGGGAAATAAAAGAATCAAAATTTAATTAATACAAACATACCTAGTATGCTATACCTGCTAAGGCAAAAAAATATATATATTTATCTCCCCTAATTAGAATCTTCTTCCTATATACTGGATATTACTATAAAGAAACAATGTTTTGTAATAGTACTTATACCTTTTTCAATTATAAGAGAATAAAGCTAAATTAATAGATAACAGCTACCAAGAAATATTGTCTTCCTTTGTCTTTGTACACAGAGAAAATGTATTTGGTAATCATTTTCGAAATCTTGTGAATTACTCTGATGCGACAAAGTGTAACACTCTGTTATGAGCATGTGTGACATAGGATTGGTGGCCATTAACACAGTGACAGGAAGGTTAGGGTGATTAATGAGGAGGTGGGGGACGTACTTGCAGAATGTAACATTTTCTTAAATTGTATGTTCTCCAAGGAGCTGCTTATTATGATTCCTTCAGTATCAATCCTATCATTTCTTGTGGAACATGCCACATTCTAAATTAGCACCCCATTCCCAAGGCAACTGTCTTCAGGGCAGCCTTTTTCTGTGCCTTGGATTCTTCAGACAAACTATTTCATCAAGTGATAGTTGTCCTCTAATTCCTCCTTCATCTCATCATAGTTTTGCTCATAAATTTTAAGCTCGTGTTCTCTTACTTTGGGGGAGAAATTCTGGAACTGTTAGATCACTGTTTACTAGACAAGTGCTTAATTTCAACTCTGTCATCCAACAGGTCTGTCTGGGTTTTAATAATCTGTCTTTCTACTTCCGCCTTTCTTCACGCTATTATACACAAACCAATGTTATTTCTATGATTTTACCGAAGCACTACTGACATAGTCATAACATAAATAACTCTGGTCTTGAAATCTTTGTGAAAAGCAGTTGCATGTAAATATATTGTCAGACATTCATTTCTGGAGATGTGGTTTTCCAGAGAGGAGCCTAGGCTGGAGAGGAAGCAACAGGCGGAGAATGTACGTGAAGACTATTTTACATGTTGATAAAGTAAGGATGACAGAGTTAACATCTTGTTGAGAAACTGACATTGAATGCCAAGGAGAACAAATAACAGGAAAAATACAGATAACATCAAGGAGATAAATGAATAGTTCTGATAAGAGTCATTGTCCAAAGAAAAGATAGTCTGGAGAAATTCTGTGTGTCAGAGGAATTTGGTCAGAGATGCCCTTTACAGGTGTCTATACTCTCTGACTCTGGCAAAAAGTGAACTCTTAAGGGCAGTGGGCTAATTTGAAATGCTACCCTTCGTTTAGAAACCCCTAATCCAAAGAAGAATGAAAATGGGTTTTCCCAGTGGGTAGTTTAAATATTTCTTTGCATATTCCACAGTAGAGAAATGGGTTCTGACTAGTGCACCTTTAGGGATAGACTTTTCAGTTATATAGGATTGAGGTTGCCAATGTACTAATGAAAACCTGTCTCTCCATTCATTTTGTTTTCAAAATTAATAATAAAAATAAAATGAGTGCTCATCAAATGTCAAGGGCTATACTAGATGTTGGGACTAAAGTTAAAATAAATATAGTCTTTGTTATGAAGCTCAGAGGCTGAACAACTTACAAGCTCATTCCCATCAATCCTGGCTCATCAATTTAGAATTTGATGTACTGGTTGGGAGGCTACTATCCATTTGCTGCGCATACAGAGGGCAGAGTAAAACAAGTGGAATATGCATAGGCCAGATCTTCATGAAGCAGTAGTTTTCTAGAGATCCTCAGAGGAACCTATAGGAACTGTAGTTTTCCTCAAAAGACTGCAACGAGCGGGTAAGAAGTCTATGAAATCTATGAAAGTAGGCATTCTTAAGGCAGGGGTAGGGTACACAAATCAGTATAAGGGGATGTTGCTGTGAAATATTGGAGCACCCATATTTCACACCATCAACAACCCTGTTGTGCCAGGAATAATGGCAATTGATTATCCAGTTGACAAATCAGTACTGATGGCCCAGTCTCTGAAAGATGCAAATGTGGTTCTTTTCACCGTGAAGCTCATACAGTAACTGGAGATAAAAACGAACACAGTTTATTATATTATTATCACTGTCAAGATTGCTGAAAAAAGCAGCTTTGGGATATGAGAAGAGTATATGACAAGGGGTATCTAGCTTAGTTTAGGGCATTTGGAAATGCATCTTTAAGGAATTAAGAGTAAATAAAAGTTTCTAGGAAATGGATAAAGAGGGGTAGACAAATAAGAGTCAGAAGGAGCAGTCTTTGGGTTTGGCACAGTGGCTCATGCCTGTAATCCCAGCACTTTGGGAGGACAAGGCAAGTGGATCATGAGGTCAGGAGTTCAAGACCAGCCTGGCCAAGATGATGACACTCCTCTCCCTACTTAAAATACAAAAAAAAAAAAAAAAAAGAAAGAAAGAAAGAAAAATTAGCTGGGTATGGTGGTGGGTACTTGTAATCCCAGCTACTTGGGAAGCTGAGGCAAAGAATTGATTGAACCTGGGAGGCAGAGTTTTACAGTGAGCCAAGATTGCACCACTTCTCTCCAGCCTGGGCAACAGCAAGGCTTCACTTCAAAAAAAAAAAAAAAAAAAAAAAAATGAAGGAGCACTCTTTGTGGAGTTTTTTGGGGCTCACCAATAGAGCATGGTGAGTGAGTAACTGAATTGAGGAATGGTGCCTGCGTGAATGGGATGCAGAGAGGGATAGGTAGTAGGCATTTTCTTCAAGCTCTAGTCAGCCATGTTAAAGACCCCACTAGAATGGGCATCTGTTGAAGGTTTGGGGTCAGTGGTATGTGAATAGACTAGTCTTCATAGAATCACTTGCATTGTGCAGGAGTGTTGGGGTAAAGACAGCATTGAATTTAAGAGACTAGTTAGGAGAGTATTTTTATCCCTAGGAAGGTGGGAGTGAAGATTTAGAGTAGGGTGGTGGCAGAACTTTATGTTTAGATGGGTATAGGAAGTGACTGAGAGGGACAGATCAAATTTCTGTCTTACATAACTGGCTAGCAATCATGCTAATCACTGAAATAAGAGACTTGAAATTATTTCCCTTTTCAGGGTCAAATTGTTATTGAAATTTTATATACAAAGATATAGAAGTGTTTCTACAAATAGAGATGCCAAATAGGTGGCTGGCTATGAGGTTTTGTAACTCAGATGAGGTCAAGGCTAAAGACTTCAATGTGTGAGTCAGTATTTTTTGAAGGGTAATTGAAATTATAGAAGTGGATGAGCTTGGCTGGGAGAAAGTGTGAAGTGAACAAAGAGTAGCACAGAGCATCAAGCTTGGAAGAACTACAACATGTAAAGATCAGATGAAGAAGAGCCTGTAAAGGAGACTGAGGCCTTACCAGAGATACAGAAGGAAAAGGAGACTGTCTTGGCAGATCTGAATGTAAGAATCTCATGGGGTTTCAGAAATCAGGCTTTTTATCAGGGCACTGCCACTATGAACCCTCTACGAACTCACCTTATGAACTCTCTGTGTTTCAGTTTCCTCTTGTATAAAATGGGGAATGAGAATACTTAACCCATGTCTCTCAAGGTTTTTTTTTCTTTTTTTTAGCAGGAGTCTCGCTCTGTTGCCCAGGCTGGAGTGCGGTGGTGGGATCTCGGCTCACTGCAACCTCCACCTCCTGGGTTCAAGTGATTCTCCTGCCTCAGCCTCCTGAGTTGCTGGCATTACTGGTATGTGCCACCATGCCTGGCTACTTTTTTGTATTTTTAGTAGAGATGGGGTTTCACCATATTAGCCAGGATGGTCTCGATCTCCTGACCTCATGATCCGCCCACCCTGACCTCCCAAAGTGCTGGGATTACAGGAGTGAGTCACCACACCCAGCTCTGTCAAGGGGTTTTAAGGAGGCAATATAATGATGTCTGAAGGTCCTTGGATACCAAAACCCTCTTAAGCATGCCATTGGCTTGCTGTGTGTTCCTAACAGTCAGTGTACAAGAAAACATGCCCCTGGCACAGGGCCTTTGCTTAGCTTTCCCAGCCCCTCACCTCTTTAGATAAAGTTCTACTCATTTTTGTATCTCAGCTCAAGACTCACTTCTTCAGAAATGCTTGGTCTCAACTTTGAATGTGTGCTAGACTCTTTATAGATTCAAGTTTCCTTTCTTAAGAGGACTTCTTTTGTATTTAAATTAGATATAATTTTATGATTATTTGTCTAGTATTTGACTTACACAATAAGATATATGCTTCTTGAGAACACAAACCATGTCTATTGATAACTGCTTAATTTTCTTTGCTTAAAATACTGTCTGTGGAAGGTAGGCACTCAACAATATTAGTAGAACAATCCAAATACATAGATGAATAAGTGTTCTTATCCTGTTCAAGACAAGAAAGATGGATTGATGATAGAAAAATAATATTTGATTTAGCAGCATGCAACTCATGTGTGAAATTAGGGAGAGCTAACTCAGTAAAGCATTGTGATGAAAGATGAATTAAAGACATTGAAGAGTAAATAGTTTATGATATGCAAAAACAGAGAACAGACACTTGTTCGAGAAGTTTGTCTATCAAAGAGATGGCAGAGAAGAGTGGAAGTCTTCCTCCAAAACTTAATTTATAGACATACAGGGGACAGTTTTATTTATTTAAAAAGGGCACCAGCACAGAGGATGATGAAATATATCACCTTTTGTAAGATCTATCTTTGCCTTATTAGTATAGCACTGAATTGGGCCTGCTCGAACATGATTTTTTTACTGAACAGTGAAGTGTCCTTCAGTCAGCTTGCTGCAGTCTAATCTGTGAAGAAAGGTCGCTTGGTGTCCAAATATGCGAGGTTCAGAAGTTCAGGCTGCTTAGTGCAGGCATAAGGAAAGTAATCATGCATCACATATTCAGAGTCCTTGAAGACTCTGTGTGTTGCTTTGAACAGGCTGTGTTAGCAAATAAAGGTAGTATAGCACTTCACCAGGCTGGTAAACTGCTTCCAACATTCATCACATACCAGTTCCTCTCAAAAACCCCAGCTTCTCACTTTCATCATCTGAGTTAGTTTTTAGATAGATTGGATCACTGTAAATTTCCCAACGATAAAATAATTTCCAAGGATGGTGTTTCATTGTACTTCAGACCAAATGTTAAAACATCTTTCCCCAGATTTTCCTGTTTGATCCATAATGAGTGGAACTGTAAACGTCCCCAAAAAGGGCTGCCCCTCTATCTGTAGCTTGGCTGACAGGGAATTTCACGTTTTTGTCTAGACTGCTGTCAACTGTTTCTAGGCAACTGACTTTTCAGATAATATCTCTAAAGCTTGGAGCACAATTTGATGGCTAGAAATTTGCTTTCCTAAAGAGAAAAGTTGGTCTCCAGCCTTTCAGAGAAGACCCAGGGGAGGTAGCTTGCAGAACTAGATAATTTTAGGTTCACTGTCTTAACTAATTGCTGGAGGCATTGATTGTAATATAAAGAGAGGGGAATGCATTTTAAAATGCAAAGTTCCGTTTCAATATTAGATAAAATTAAAATGAACTCAAGTCTCATCATGACCCATTCTTCACCCATCATTACATTCTATGACATTGCATGCCTGTGTCTAAAAGTAAAAACGTTTAGATCTTAAGCGCGCCTTGATTTTTACTCTCTTAACAAACAACAAAAAGAAAGTTACTGACAATCCTATTTCTCTAACGCTTAGGGTTTTGTAGAACCTTCTCTGAAACCCCTCTCTTGTCTGACTCCCGGAAAATTTCTCATCTACTCAGTCTCTGTCAAAGTTTTTCTTCTCTCTTGTCTAGGCTTCTCACAGGCACCAGCCCCACCAGTGGCCTTCTATCCTTCCCAGAATAAACAAGATAAAGTCAAATTTGTGCCTTTTAATTTTCCCAGTCAATCATCACCCTAATCCTACACAATGAAGAGACAAGAAATTGAGCAGGGAATCAGACTTCTCCTTAATGGATAAAGAGTAGACATGTGACTTCTTTATATTCTTGTCACTCAAGCTAACCCCCAGATTTCTCATTTATTGAGCAAATGAATATACTGTATACCTATGGACACTAAAGTTGGACCAGTCTCATTTGAATTCAAAGCTGCTGATACCAGATGTTTGACTTTGGGCAAATCAGGCAATTATCTCCTCTCTCAATGGGGTTATTAATAGCTACCATAGGAGGATTTTTGAGAGGATTATGCAGATAATATTAAAATGTTTCTGAATGGATCATGGTAAGCTTGCAACAAGAACTAGTGCCATTTGAATAGGCCTCTACTTGTGACCATAAAATAACTGGCACAATAAAAATCATGATTAATTTTAGTATTTGTACTTTTTTTTGGTAAATAAGGCAAGTTCAAAAGTTTGTTATTCACACTTACATTTGACCTTGAACTGTTGGTGTTCATGCTGTAAATAATTTTAAAATGTTCAATATTCAAATAGCAAGGAAAAAATTCAGAGAGAATAGATTTTAACACTGTTTTTGGCAAATTGCTCACCTATCATAGTAAAGTGGGGTATTTAAAGGAGGTGTTTTCTTTTGTTTTATCGTAATTAGTTCCACTGACAACCCTATGAACACAATCAGTGCTAAAATCTCACTTAGATCTGTTTATTATTCTTACCCTCAAAAATAATTTTAAAAAATTACCATTAGCTCTACTGACTTTCATTTGACTTTGTCTATTTTTGTAGTTAATTGTGAAAGTGATTTTCATAAATGTGACATTACCATTAAGATTGTTTCAAAACATTTTTGATTGGTGTTTAACTTTGCTTCAAAGGAGACAGTCAAGTAATTTTAGGTCAGCCTACTCCTCAAGTAGAGCAATTCCAGTGTACTTTTCATTAATGTGTTTCTATCAAAAAAGGAAACAACAGTAATATGCTGAGTCAGTAAGAAGACAAGAAATAGCCTTTGGAAGATTTTTATTGAGTTGACAGAGTCTCTTTTAATTGAATTTGTGTTTTACTTGAATAATAATTGAATATATAACCTATAAAATCTTTTAACTCGATACTTTGTTTTTTTTTTTTTTAAGGATTGTAGTTTATGTTAAGGTCTCTCTAAATTACATTAGATAAACAATTGGGTTCTTAGGGATTAACTGAATCAGTTTTAATACATGCTTTATTCACCAAGAACTGATGGCATTGTTTCAGGGATAAGAGAACACGAATTTATTTGCTTATCAAAACACTTCAGTACAAAAATAGCAAACATATGCCAGAATAAATCCAACCTAAACTGAAAAGTGGCCTTTATACTTGAAAATCTGAAGCAACTATCTTCTTTTGAAATAATGTGAGGGATTAGTGAGAGTGAATGCTATCCATAGGGATTGAGGGTGGAGAAGTGGAGACAGAATACATGCAGGTAGCTTCTCATGTTTTTGAAAGTCGTTCTCAGTGGTAGGTTCGGGAGGGAAGGAAAGGGAGAAGAAAGGTTGTAGTAGAATGTATTTGAGTATGTTTGTAAGCTAAGGGGAAGAAAGAAACATTAATATTGACTCATCCATATAGGTTAAACACTCGACTGATGTTTGACATTTATCTTGGACAAATCAAGGACTTAAACTTATTACCCATGATTGAAAGGTCTATGTGGCCATCCACCCTTCCACAAATTGCTGTTCTGTCCACAGGTGAAGGAGTAAGGAGAGAGAAAAGAAGGAAAAAAGAGACAAGGCTGGTGACTGGATAAGGCGACACTTAGTCCTAAAGTGATACATACTTTCCTTAGTGACAGGAAAAGAAAAGAGAAGCATTGGTAAAAGTTATTAATGAGACTGAATAGAATTTTTTTTTTTTTTTGGCCAGGTGCTAACAGAAGAACAATAATTATAAACTTTTATCACTTGATTTATTATTAATTCATTGTTTGCTATTCTCGTTTTCCTACTTCAAAAATGGATTTTGGCCAACTTACAATGGAAGGCACAGTCAGAAATCATTTCCTTTTATTTGAGTGTTTCAGACTCCTGAAATCATCTCAGCTAAGTCGTATGTTTCCTTACCTGGCATATGTCACCTAGGAGATCATCTGGGGAAAATTGTCTGCTATGTAATGTTTACACAGTAGTCCTGGATAGAACTGTGATTCCTAAACAAATGTTTTCATTTTTTTTAAGTGGTCTTTTTTTTTTTTTAACTGTAAATTAACTGTAATCTCAATATTTT